GTTTTGAGTTCCACACAATCCTGTTTTTTAAACAGAGATTGCTGTATAGGGCCGGTATGAAGTTCCTTCTTTATGCTGCCTTTGCATTTTTACACAGAACCAAATGACAGCGGCATCATCCCACTCCAGTGTGTGATTTTAAAGAACATTCCAGCCACACAAATTTAAAATAGGCATGACGGGTGTGACATGTAACACAACAGCGTCAGCCTCTAGTGTGACATAAAACATACAGGTCAGCAACGTTTTTTACTCTCTAACAATGGCATTAAGATGGCAATAGCAATCATTTACCATTTCTGTTACATGGTGGCTGATCTCATCCTGTGCCCCGAGGGTAAGGAGCTACCAGACCTCATTTGCAGACATTTTCGGCTGCTCTTCTTCTTCTTAGCTGCTATGACCACCAGCTACTTTTTTAATCCCTCGGTGGGTCACAGACACAGCACATCATCACAATGTCACACCAGTGCTGCCCATATTTCCGTTTTGCCGGCTGTCCTCCTCACGCAGATATCACTTCAGGACTGTTACTACCTTGGTTCCTGGCTCAGAGGCAAAACAACTTTGCCCCCTCATTCCACGATTGTGCCTTATACACAGCACGGTGAGGTGGAATAATGGCATGAACTTTGCTGTTTGCCACAAACCTTGAACCTTGAAGGGTCAGTGTTAAAGTGGCTACCGTGTTATGCATATGTGTTTTAGGTGATTCATAGTTCTTCAAACAGTCTGGTTGCACTTTTCCTTAAAAAAAAAGCCTTTAATTTGAAGGAGTACAGGGAATGTACAGAACCAAACATTTACTGGGAACAAGTCCTCTCAAGTTTAGGGGAGACTTGTCGCACCCATAGAATCCATTTACATTCAGATATCATGAGGTTAGGGCTCAAGGGACCTCTTTGAAAAATGGCCGTGCCAGTTGTTCCTTCGCAAAATTTAGCGTTTGAGTGTTATTTAGCCCACTTTCAATAGGAGGGCCAGCCATTGTATTAAGGTGGCCATTTCATACTGCAGAAATTGAGCTTTTTTGGCTTCATGCGCCACTAAGTAACTTGAATGAATGGAGGCCTGCCTCCAATACTGTATCCAGTTGTCTTAATACATCCTTGATCTCGCATAGATGAAGTACAGTACAGATGGCAGGCCTGACAATTCCATTTTCAAAATAAAATAGCAATTGAAGTAAAAAAAATAATTGAGGCCTGTCTTGTTGAAAAAACACACCCATGCCCTGCTATGGTACACACGTACAATACCACATAATGTCTATGAAGAGATGCTTTTGCCATTCATGCAAAATCATACTGCACGCTGCACCTCTATGCATATGAACTTGCAAAGCAAGATCTAGATGGCAAAACATCTTGTAAAAACTTTGGGTGATAAAACCTCCCACATTTGCAGTAAGCCAGTGTGAACCCATCATTTTCCCCTCTTGTTTTTCACAAGCTCTGTGAATTGTTTCATACAGTGACACTTGTGGTCATTGTGGTTTTTTTTATGTGGATCCTGGGCACCATACCATGTTCCCATTGGGGAAACAATAAAGTGTCAAATTAAGTTAACTGTTCTCAATTTTAGCCAATAGACAGCATGTACTTTAACATGAGTGTAAGGATTACAGACAGCACAGAATGTAGCAGAGTTGTAGTTCAGACAGTGATCAGAGCATCAGACCGAGATCCTTGTTGTTGTTGTTCTGTGCGTGCTGACCCAGCTAACCGCTCTGCGGGACAAACAGGAAGCCATTTATCCAAGGCCAAATTTCCCAAAAGCTTCTTACTGCAGCTCCAAGATTGTCTTTGTTCTTTTGTGAGCCAAAAGACAATGATGATTTTAGGATTAAATTGATTTTTGGAAAATGAGCCTGGGCCAGTTACGTAAGAGATGACAACAATCCAGCTCAGCTCTCATCTGGGTCAGACAGGAACGGATTCCATCGAGCAAGAATGTATCACCTTCTGGTTTATGTTACTGTTATAGGAAATAAGTGATTTTTAATAAGAGAGCAATCAGATAAATCACAACAGTCTATATCTAACCAGCCAGTCACTCGGCTTCATTTCCTCCTTCATTTCCCTTGTATACTGGCATCCTGCTGTAATGTTTCCTGCCTTTTGCCTGCGTGTCTGTGGATGTATGCTTCATGTCATGTTATAGGAGTTTCCATCCAAGTCTGAACAAACACAAACACTCGCTGTGGGCCAGCTCATTATGTGGGTCACATCCTATAGGCACAAATGGACCCCAATCACTCTGACAGAGGTGAACATAGTGTATATCTTCTCTGGTTTTGGCCAGAAACCCTCACATATAAAACAATGTTGTTTACAGCAATGCATCTATTGATCGTGAAGTAGGGTCAGTTAATTTTGCTTTTGAGCGTGACACCAATCAATAACTAACCAGTTGATTAAAAAAAGAAGTGCAAAATAATGTGAAATACATCAAGTCTTTCCTGTAATTCAAGCTCAAAGCATTTTCCATTTAAAGTGGTAAAATCTGAATGTCTTGCCTTTAATTTATTTATTTTGTTGGCTTTGCTAATAGACAGCCAGCTAACTACATTAACATGTGGAAACACAGTGCCCACTGCCCAACGTTAGCTAACATTAGCCTTGGCTAACAGGGAGGAGCTAGGTAGCAGCGCCTCATTAAACAATTACCGCTGGTAACTGACTGCTGCAAAAACATGGTAGCCACCCTTTGGTCCCCTCCCATGTAGCCCCGTGAATAAGAGGCTTCATTTTGAGCCACAAAACCCCTTTAGCATGGATAACTATGTTGGGACCACTAGCCGTGCTGACAGTTACCAGCTAATTGTGTTAACAGAGCTAACAGTGATAACATTGTCAATGCTAAATGAGGTTTGCTGCTCAGTATTTAGCTCACTCACCTGGGCGACCTGGGGGGAGACTGGAGGGTGGGTACAATATTTCCACATCGCCAAATGAGCGACACTGCTAGCTAGCCCCAACCAGAACCTGTTGGTGCACAGTGCAGTTAAACTAAAAAAAGTATTCTCCACCTATTGACCAACATGCGTAACCAGTCAAAAACATTCTTGTCAGTTAACCAATAAACCTGGACACCTGGAAAAGCCGGGGAGCACTGTGAGGGTCACGTTCTTTGACTTCTCCAGTGCTTTCAATACCATCAGGCCTGCTCTACTGGGTGACAAGCTGACGGCGATGCTGGTGAATCCCCCCCTTGTGTCCTGGATTGTGGATTACCTCACTGGCCAACCACAGTACGTGCGCTTGCGGCACTGTGTGTCAGACACAGTGGTCAGCAATACCGGGGCCCCACGAGAGTCTTGTCATCTTCAGAAGTTTTCTGATGACTCTGCTATAGTTGGATGTATCAGCAAGGGTGAGGAGGCTGAATACAGGGCTGTGGTGAATAACTTTGTCTCATGGTGTGAGCTGAACCACCTGCAGCTCAACACAACAAAGACAAAAGAGCTGGTGGTGGATATGAGGAGAACGAGGACACCAGTGACCCCAGTTTCCATCCTGGGGCATAACGTGGACATTGTAGAACACTACAAGTATCTGGGTGTGTTCATTGACAGTAAACTGGACTGGACTAAGAACACTGAAGTCCTTTACAAGAAGGGACAGAGCCGCCTCTATTTTCTGAGGAGGCTCCGCTCCTTTAACATCTGCCGGACTATGCTGAGGATGTTTTATGAGTCTGTGGTGGCCAGTGCTATTCTGTTTGCTGTGGTGTGCTGGGGCAGCAGACTGAGAGTAGGGGATGCCAACAGACTCAACAAGCTGATCAGAAAGGCCAGTGACGTTGTGGGGGTGGAGCTGGACCCTTTGACAGCAGTGTCAGACAGGAGGATGCTGTCGAAGGTGCGGGCGATACTTAAGCATGGCTCTCACCCTCTCCATAACGCTCTGGTTGAACAGAGGAGCACCTTCAGCCAGAGACTGATTGCTCCTAAATGCACCACTGAGCGCCACAGGAAGTCATTCTTACCTGTGGCCATTAAACTGTACAACTCCTCCCTCTGATGATCGGACTCATTTGGCTATTTATAAAACAAAACACACAATATAATTACTCATTATTTCATTTATAACGCTACAACCATTTCATTGTATATTGTATATATTTCAGATTGTCTCCTTTACTATTTTATTATTTATTTTATTTTATTGTCTACTTTAATATTTTATTTTATTTTATTTTAATGTCTACTTTAATATTTTATTTTATTTTATTTTAATGTCTACTTTAATATTTTATTTTATTTATTTCATTGTCTATTTTAGTATCTTATTTATATCTTCATCTTTATCTCTTGTTTCCATTCATGCTGTATTTCTATTTCTACTTTGCACGGAGCATTGGAACAAAAACAATTTCCCCCCGGGGATTAATAAAGTATTCTGAATCTGAATCTGAATAAAGACATTCCCTATTGTGAAGTCAAAGTGACAACTAGTGGGTCTTTTAAACCTAATATTCTCTAAAGGAGTTTAAAATTATGCCTGTGCATAACATGACATTTTCACCAGGCTTGTTGGCAAGATTTATTGTTGACACTGTTATTTGATGAATAATATATCTTGCAAAAATATCAGATAAATGATTGATAAGGGTTAAAAACCTGCTTTCCAAGGAAGCTCTCACCAGCTAAGGCCTCCTTACATTTCCAGCATATTAGGATACAAGTCATTTCCACTCACAAAAACTAAACTGGAAAATAATTTAAAGTAAAACTATCACTCAAACCACGTTAAGACCGGCACATCCTGAAGTTCAGTGGAGAAGATACACAAATTAAGACTTTTTCATATGACCCCCCTAAAGTATAGATATGGTGGAACATTATAACTGTCGTGTAAAGTCCAAAGGATCAGTGACTTTTCTGGACATTGTTTCATGTTGTACCTTCATGATTAGTCCTTCTACAGGGATGCAGGACACATATAAAACAGTGTGACTAATAAGTGCTCCTGTATTTGCACACTTAAGACTCAGAGTTGCAGACTTTTTTGGTTTGTTTAATAAGATTGTCTTTTTTGTTGAACTAAAACACAACATACTGTACTTAACTAATAGTAATACTAAATGAAAATACTACTTTATAGTCGCTCTTGCACCCTAACATTTAGCTCCATTAAAAACAAGACAATCATATACATCAAAAACTAAAATGTAGTAAAATGCTAAAATCACAAAAGTTGCATTTTCTTTGTTGCATTTTCACTATCTCTTTTTTGATCACACTTGACACACTAATGTTTTCTACGACAACAAAAACAATTACAATCAATGCTGCCACTTAAACTGTCCTGATTGTAATCAATGGGACTTTGGCTTTAACTTCGAGTATAAGGCAGTGATATGAGGGAAACATGATAATATGTAATATAATGGCTTAAAAATATGTTCAACTCATCCCATGATTCCAAACTCAGTGCTTGTCAATTAAAAAGAAAGAAAAGTTTCATCAGCGGTACTGAAATAAATAAAGGTGCTATGTTGGCTATGTTAGCATCCCTCATTGAAACCAGTGAGCCAGTTTCCAGCTACCACCATCAGTGAAATGCTAAAACTGACAACAAGCTGAAGTTTGTGTTCTTCCTCCAACAAGTGCCTGGCAAAGCAATATAACATGTGAAATTGAAAGGACAGCTCTTTCAGAAAATACAGTCTATCTAAGGAAAGAACATCTCCACAGTGCAGCCATGCAGTTTTCATTTTACAGTGTACAGATGTGCCAGAGATAAGGAGCCCCACGAGGAGGGGATGTAGAGAGCCCTCTGTGCTCCCAGACGATGCACTGAGCTCAGGCTGTGCTGCAGGTGGACTCCCCTGTCCTTCCTAGCAACCATGATCCTTCTTTCTCATGAGAGGGAGTGTACTGTACTTCCTCTGTTCGACATCTTAGTCCATGTCCCATAGTCCTCAGGGGTTCTACTGTCCCACAGTGTTTCCTTCCAGTGCACTTCCAAACTATTAGGAACCGCTTGGTACTAGGAGTAGATGGTAATGACCTCCCGACCTCCTCCACGAACTAAAAGGACGCGGTCGAGACCATCCATCAGGACCTCCAGAAACTCCATATCTGAGACACACATTCTGGTTAAGGGCATACTGCACATTAAAGTAAACACATGCTGCCATTTTTAGACTTGCACAACTTTAAAGCTCATGAACACACCAAAAATTGAATGAATAAGTGCATTTCCCAAAAAACTGAACTACTCCTTTAATATGCCAACATTACTTTGAGTGACTGAGTTAACAACGTGTTGACTAAATGGCTGATTAGCTGAAAAAGGATACAGTTCTCATCCCCTTTTCTGTTCTTCGGTGGGCCCGGCATGTTAAGCAACACCAGCTGTGACTCACAGGAATTCTTGAGCACCACCTCATTCAGCCTCACAGCTGTGTGCATCCTCCGCACGTTGGACTGGTTGCTATAAAAAAACACAGACATTATCAAGAGCATTGGTTATCTTGCCATTCCTTGCAAAGTCAGAGGGCAGGTTCAGTATTATACTCTAAATCAGCATTCTACAGGAAGCACAGTATGAGTGATTGCGAATCTGATGATGTTGCAGGCAAATACAATACACACACACACACACACACACACACATGCAGCTTCCATATTTGTCATCATGCAAACTGAGCTGGTGAGCCACTAACAAACAAGCATGCCAGCACAGACATTATTCTCACACGGCACATGCACAGAGAGTTCGTGCACATGCAAACAAAAAAAAAAAAATGAAGTGACTTACAGATTCTCCCATTCACTAGAGGAAGGGAGCAAAATAAAACAACATATCCAACATTAATGCAACAATCTGAGTTTATCAGGTACCTAGATTATTTTATTATTATTATTATTAGATCATCTCTCAAATTATAGTAATATAAAGGAAATAAATAATGTTGTTTAATGTTGAGTTAAATCTAAATAGAACATCTGACATATTGGGCACTAAAACAAAAATCAAGGAATGTGTCTTTAAGATGTTTTGCAGCAAAGCTGGATCTACTTACGGTTTCATATTAAATATGTCTTTAACTCCTATGTTTTCTCTGTGTCTGTTCCTCTCATTGACCAGTTTGTCTTTGGTCCAGGTCATATGGACACGATCAGGTGCGGCACCTGCAGCTTTGTCATTCATAGAATGAGACGCCGTGTTCCGGTCGTGGATCAGCTGGGCCTAAACATATGACAGGTCAGATGATATACAGTCAGTTTGGTATTTTTAGACATGTCATGTCCTGTTTCTATTCTAATTTCTAATAATAAAACACTGGACATTTACTTCCTGGTAAACTCAAAAAGATCAAACTCTGGAGAGACACTAATATTATGTTACTGCTTCTCTCAGAATAAAACCAGTATCGGTATGTTTATTTTTTCTTAGTATTAGTAGACATTTTAACAACAGAGCAACAAGTCATTGCAAATTCATCATTTTTTTACATTGATGATGGACATGAAAATATGACCAGAAGATGATATGAGGACAAATCAGGCAGATGTAGTTATTTTTAGGTCAGTAAGGTGGCAAACAGGTTCATGGTGATGACAGAACATGCAGGAAAAGAACACAGAAAATATGAAGCTGTCTTTAACAGTGGACCCAGAGAACCTCCTGCTCTGTTTCTTGATCTCCTTTAAAGACAATTTCCTGCAGGACCCCAGGCTCTGTTGCTGTAAACTATATATATGATTCACAACATTTTGATGTGTGTCAGAATCTCTGAGGGAGTTGATATGCAGCAGCAGGCTGATTGAAAATAACTGGACTAAGTCTCATGTTGACCACAAGTACTGATAGTGTGGGTCACATTTATTTGTCTTCCTCTAGTGGCAGCTTTTGGTATCTGCCAAGTCAGCACTGACAGAACAGTGACACACTGAGGCCAAACATTTCATCCCTGAGTTCAACCGCTGATGACAGCACTGTCTGAAAGATTGCAGTTGTTATGAATGGATTATGATGTGAGAAAGGATGGCATGATAAATGGAGGGATCAGTGGCATCATGGTTGGTTACTATGGGCCGTTTGGTCGACGTGGCTACCTCATCCTCTGGTATGCACTGTGTGTTGAGAGAAAGGACACCCGAACACTTCTTCCTCTTTATGGAGCCGCGCGATACATCTGTGATGCTTTGAATCTGAGCCCGTTGTTCAATGACAAAGCGAGGTTGGGGGAAGAGGTCAAAGGTCAACAACAGCAGAACAGACCATGAGGAATTATACTATGCCTTTGTCTTTGGGTGGGGGATAGCTGCATCTGTGTAGCGCATCTTCAATATAATTTTTATAGCGCTGTATATAATTTTTATAGCATTATTGCATCATGTTTTAAAGCAGAAAATATGCTAATTTCAGGTTAATACTTTGTCATCATTTTTCCCCAACTGACTCAACATTGTGGAAGACTCTGGTGACGCAGACCTCCTGTCTGTCTGTTTCTGTAAGCTGACACCATTTCCCTCAGCTGAAACAAAGCTTTTATTTACTATTATTTCACAGATAAGAAAAAATAAATTGTGAAGACAAAATAGCCCCCAAAAAATAGAATTTTAAGTCTTGTGTGATTTATCCTGGCTTCATACGAGTAAAGGAAATCTCAGATAGCGGCTAGGCTAATTTATGTAAAGGTAAATGTCATCGGCATATACTAATATTGTTAGCATGTTGAATTTGTGGGGAAAATGTGTCTAGTGTAAGACACTTAATTTGTCAGTGAATCTTGTGAGCTGTAATTGAGCCGAATTTTGTAACATCACCTTTGTTAAATGTTGCTGTTGGTCCTGGCTTCATATGAGCAGAGGAAATCTCTGCTATCCACTAGGCTAATTAATACAATGTAAAATGTCATGGGCTTGTGCTAATAATGTTAGCATGTTGTATTTGCAGGAAAACATGTCTAGCAAAATACAAATACTTTTCTGTGAATCTTGTGAGTTATTATGACACCAATTTGTGTACTTTTATGTACTTTGTGTAAGATGTGTTTTGGATCAGTCAAACTGTACAGCACCTCACAGAAATGTCACTGCCAACTAGTGTTTTGGAGTTTGGAGGTGTAACTGAGTGACACAGACACACCAGTCTACAAGTATATTATGTATTAAGGAAACGTCCTCAGGTTATCATGTTGTGACCATAGGCCTTAATGCCACGGGGATCAATAGTTTCAAACATACAAAACCTGTCTGAATCAGGGAAGGCAACTTAACTGGAACTCCTGAAAGCCACTGATTTGAAATAAATAAATCTAAAAGTCAAGATCAATAATACATTCCTTTGCATTCATTTGATTCTTACTGAAGACACTGAAGACATTGCTTTATCTTGTTAATATGGACTTCAAAACTGTTTTGTAATGATATAGAATTTAATTGTAAATATGCAATAAAAAATGCAATTGATTGCAAAAAACAATTGGAATTAAGCATTTAATCAAGATTTTTTTTACGTCACATTACCTCTCTCTCCCTCTCAGTGCGGGACAGCTGCATCTGTTTAAGCATTTCAGACCTCTGCTCCATCACCAGCGTCTTCTCATAGGTGAAGGCTGAGATGTCACTGTCATGCTAAAGGGACACAAAGAAAACACTTGAAGTCATTTGCTCATTCAGAACAGATTACAGTGACAAGTAGCCTTTCTGTATTTTGCTCAAGTAAGATTCAAACTACCACTTCGACCAACCATCATTATGAACAAAAATGAGTTTCCTTAATTGTTAATAGTCTCACCATCTCCACCACCTCCACCTCTGCATCCAGGCGAAGATGGTAGAGAAACATCTGGAGGTCTTTCTTCATCTGGATGGAGTTGTCATCCATTTGGGCCACCGTGAAGATTCGCATTTTACACTTCCTCCATACCTACACAGGTAGGACATGTATCAGTATCAGATGCAGGTTACACAGTTAAGCTGCTGATCTGAGTGCAATAAATCGTATCTGTGACCTTTACTTCAGAGGGACATGCGAGCAGGAAATTCTCAACAAATAAGCAATGTAAAGAATAATGACATCCATTTATTTAATAATATGACTGAAGCCTGGTACTACAATGAAACTGTGCGTCACCGGGCTGTGTTTAGCAGAGAATCCATCCCTACTTTATGGCACAAACAGAAGCTGCTCTAGAAAACAAGACAGGGCAGCTGTTTATGTACAAATGGTGCTAAAGTTTTAGAGTGTGGAAATGAAAGGCTGCTGAAATAAATCACTAAATGTTAGGGCCAAATGTTAAGGCAAAGAAGAAGATTAACCAGGAATCTTATAATGACGAAAACTTGGTCTGTCTGTGTGTCTGTTCCATATTTTTCTTCTCACTGACTTGGTCGATCCATGTGAAATTTGGCACAGTGGTAAAGGGTCATGGGAGGATGCCAATGAAGCAATATTACATCAATAAGCCAAAGGGGGGCGCTATAGCAACTGACTGAAATTGCAAACTTTGAATGGGCATATCTCATGCCCTGTATGTCATAGAGACATGACACTTTGCACAGAGATGCCTCTCCTCATGAGGGGAACAAATTTGCCTCAAGAACCTATAACTTCTGGTTATATAGATTTTCTGCCATTTTGAATTTTTTGAAAAACACTTAAAATCGATCTCCTCCCAGGAAGTTTGACCAATCTGCATGAAACTCGGTGAACATAATCTAGGGACCAATATCTAAAGTTCCCTCTTGGCAAAAGTTGGAAAACTCACTAAAACTGAGCTTCTATAAGGCAATGAATATTGCGGAGGGCGTGGCTCATCACATAAAGGTGTATAACATCTCAAGGGTTTCACCGATCACCACGCAACTTTGTAGGCATATGAGGCACACATAATCTGAGGGGACCCCTCCATTATTGACCCCATCAAACAAAATGGGGGCGCTAGAGAGCTAATTTCTTATCTAGGCCTAACCGCCATATTGATGTTTACTAAACTTTGTAGATATGTAGAACATGACGCCTCAAGGTGACTGGAGAAATTTAACTCTAATTGGCAACTGGGTGGCGCTATAATAACAGAAAAATGCTTAAAAATGGCTAAAATGCGACCGATCGCTGTGGCTACCCATGTGGCCCAATGTTTTGTTTTTTTTCTAATTTTTGGTATGACTAAGTCATGGTATGGTATGCTGTACATAATCACAGAAACTTTCAGTGTGTCATTCTGTCTGTCCACTGCATAGTTTTTCCACATGGTTATTTAGTCTTTTCTTGCTCTTTAGAGCCCATGTTATTATTGATATTGAATGTATACTGAGTCAAATATGTTTAATTCTGCTCATAAAAATGCATTGAATAATCTAAAAGGAAAAAGAAAAACCCAACACACAGACACACACAGACACACACACACACACACACACACACACACACACACACACACACACAGTCACCTTGTGTTGACTAAGTAAAAATGGCAGCAGCATGAGCAGTCCACCATCATGTACGATCCACCACACATCAATGGTTCCCTCACTCAGACGCTCCTGGTTACTGGGGAAATTGTCGATGTTCTTAGCAACCAGCAGAGCCTGATGAGCTGCTGTTGTCTCTCTCACTGTCTCTGCAAAGAGAAAGAAAAAGAGAGTAAGTAATGGTTGAGCATTTGATTTTTTTTTAGGTCAGGGCTGAGGGATGCAGCTTCATAAAAGTTCTGTGTCTCCCTTTGCGCTGTTCCCCTGTATCCTTCCCTTGAGTCTTTCCCTTTTCCTCTTGCAGAGATAAAAGTTCCCTCTACTTGTTGCTGGATTGCCAGTCAGAGCTACCTTATGCCAACTGCTTTATGTCTTCAAACCACTGAAATTCCATTCCAGGAAAGTTCTTAGTAAAGTCTGAGAGAAGCCACTATTAGAAATTTGGTATATCTTACCTTGAAATTCTTTAATATGGAAGCAAATACAAGACATGAGTATTGACATTTAACAGCCACTGAAAACTTAATACTAAAATGTAAACATCACTGAATTCAAAGTGTTTAAATGTTTTACTTTAAATCCAATTCACTTCTTCATATGTATATATATATATATATATATATATACCTGAACCTATATATATATATATAGGTTCAGGTTGTTTTAGGTTGAAAAGTTTCAAATAAATCATCAGTCAAAATCTATTTGAAATTTTCCGACTTGAAGCTGAACCGACCCGATTTATTTTGTCACACACATCCTTCATGGTGCTTCTGTGTAGTTTACCTATGAAGTTCCTCCTCGAGGAGTCCCGGCCTTGTCCCCAGCCTGTTGGCCAGGCCATCAGGACCGCATTGTGTTTCATCCCTCCCAGTCCTGCTGACTGGATGAGCAGAGAGAAGCCGTCCCGCAGGTTGGACGACACCACCACATGAGAGAAACCCTTCATCTTCTCTGCAGTCATGGCCGCTTTCAGGTTCTGCAGGGACCAAGTGGAGCAAAGACAGGTGACGAATGTAAGACAGAAAATGGTACAGGATAAGCAGTGTTTCAGATGATGAACTGTGCAGACTATTTTGAGGTGCTATCACTCACTACTTGTGTAACACGCTGGCAGCCTCTTTTCTACATGTTACTTTTAAAAAGGATTTCACTTGGAATCATGGTAGTTGTAAGGTGAACATAAGCAGCATTACCCGGTTGACCAATGATGACTTGGTTTTGATTGTGGTGTTGTAGCGTACATAACAAACCATCCATCATTCCCAACTCCAGGTTGAATGTTACCAACTGGCACCTTTATAAGGTGACAATAAAACAGCCTTGGGATTTCAGCTGGTTTTTGCTGGCCCGAAGTGGCTAAGGAAAGTCTATCAATGCAACTTAGATAGTATTTGGACATTATTTACTTATGTGAAAGATAAGAAAACAAGTTACACCATATTTAATCATTTCTTAATCCTAGCTGAATTATGACCTATACTGCAACCAGCCACCAGGGGGCGATTGAGCTGTCTTGGCTTCATCTTTGCAGCACTGTTGCCCGTCTTTGTTACTGTTTGTGGGTACAGATATACAATCTCGTGCAAGTCAGTAAACTTGTTCAATACAACTGTTTCTAATACTCTGGCCCCTCATGTCTGTACATAAGGGGGACAAAAACATTTACATCACCTCTCAATAGAAAGTAGTTGAGTGCAACACCACCATTTACTATGAATTCGGTTGCACATTTTACACATTTCTAACAATGTCACAAATAACTGATTAGAATCTTTGTAAAGGTGGAATTTATGGATAAGTTGTATAAATTTAACATGTAAAAAAACACACCATCTTTAATAGTACTTTAATGCTGGCATACACATTAAACCTGAGATCTGAACACTGGAAAATCATGCAGAGGAATAAACAGGCTGAGCAGATGACAAACAAACTGACAAACCTGCTCTCCAGTCTTGGCATCATTCCCCCGGGTCATAAAGGTTCCCTCTAGGACTGAGCTAACGATGGTCAGTCCCTTTCCTGCTTTAAGCTGCGTAGTGAAGGACAGGAGACGAGGGTGTCTTACCGTCAGGTCAGGGTCCAACTTACACAACACCAACAGCTGAGGCCTAAAAAAAGAGAGAAAATGTTAACTAGTAGAATGAAAGTTAAAACTAGAGTTACCACCCCACAGTTGTATGCCTCCACTAACCCGTCAAGTTGCAGTTACAGTTTACATCCATGTCTGTGAAAACATGGATGCTTCACATACATCTTCCTCCTGGCAGAACAGAAGATCTATACAATCAGTACAGTTTCAATGTGGTCACCTGACCAAATATCTCCCCTCCTTCTACGAGAAATAATGTCCATAAAATTGTTTTTGCGTGACATTGTTATGTCACGGTGAAGGTGACCTTTGACCTTTTGGATATAAAATGTCATCACGTATCACTATATCCTATTAGACGTTTGTGTGAAATTTTGTCATAATTAACGTATGAATTCCTGAGTTAGGGCCAAAAACATGTTTGTGTCACAGTGACCTTCGACCACCAAATTCTAATCAAATCATTCTTGAATCCAAGTAAGGGTTTGTGTCAAATTTAGGAAAATTCCCTGAGGGCCTTCTTGAGATATCATGTTCAATGAGACAGATACAAGGTCACAGTGACCTTGAGCTCTGGCAATTAATTTCTAATCAGTTCATCATTGAGTCCAAGTAGATATAAGTGCCAAATATAAAGAAATTCTAAGTGTTATCGAGATATGGTGCTCACAAGAATGGGATGGACAAAACGGATGGACGTCCTAACGAATAGACAACCAGAAAATGGCACAGAGGCATGAAAAGAAGAAGAAGAATTATTACCATTAAATTTTTAATCAGTTCATCCTTGACTAACAGTGGATGTTTGTGCCAAATTTGAGGAAATTCCTCTGAGGCCTTCTTGAGATATCACATTCACAAGAATGAGACAGATGCAAGGCCACACTGACCTTGACCCTTGACGGATATCTACGGCACAGAGGCATAAAAATAAGACTTAAAGATATAATATATTAATGGAAAGTGTGCCAATTTTACAAATCAAAGTGTGTTCACATGTCTTAGGAAATACCACTACATATATGAAAATGCCTTAGATCTCACACAAAATACTTAATGTTTTGCATGTCACTTTCCCTGGTTTCACTATGATAAAAGCAAATCTCAACATACACTCACCTCCAGTTTTTGGTGTGTAATGGTGCTTCCTCCAGCCGGATGAGAGCATAGCGTGCTGCATTTAAGGACAGACCTCTGATCCCGTCTCCCCATTCCTTCACTGCCCTGCAACCAAAAGGTCCACATAGGAATGTTTCACGTTTCTTTTCCAAATGTTTAAGAATATAAAAGATATTCAAGTGTTTTATCCAGTCTCAGTGGCGTTCAAGATGTTAAGCCTTCTATACTGTCTTGACAGATCTCTTGATCTTCTGACCTGAACCTCCCAGACTCACCCTCTGTACTCAATGTACTTGTAGATACAGCCGGCTATCAACATGGCAACCAAGGCGTAGTACCAGGAAGAGATGAACATGAGAGAGAGACACAGACTCATCCCTAAGAAGGATAGGGTCCTACAGGACACACATACAGTGCAAATTATTACAAGATGAAGGACCACAATCTGTGGTTTTGGTCAATGCTTTGGAAGCTTACATCTTACATTGAATGTGCAGGATCTGTTTTGAGTTGAGCTGGAAGCTGTTCTTACCAGTGATAGAACTTGAAGCGAGGTCTCCAGTTGGGGGTACGGAGCAAAGTCTGAACAGCACAGGCCAGATTCACAAACAGATAGCACATGAGGAAAAACCTGAGCAGACACAAACAGAAAAGATCAGCAAAGAGAGAAAGGAGTGTAGTAAAATGTGCATCACTGAGACAGACTGAAAGCAAGTGGATCATTTTAACCACTTACATGGAGAGGATGGGAGCCACAGCATCCAGAGAAGCAATGAGGATTCCTATCTCACAGATCCCAACAGTCAGCAGCAGAGCCCAGGTGGGCTCACCATTAGCCTTCCCATGACCAAAGACCTGAGAAAGACAGAGACAGAGAGAGGTGGTCCAATACAGTACAACATAAAAACACAAATACAAACACACTCTATCATCAACATCAAACAGTATAGTAGATACACTGCAATATCTTTTTTATTATCACGATTATTATTATTTAAAACTCCATATTCATTCAGATTAAGGAATAATGATGGCATGTCAATTTCTTTTCTCTTGTGCAGAAAGAGTATCTGTTCATGGCTCACACGAGATGTATGGTCCACTTGTGAATTCACTGGTGAATGCCAAACATTCTTTTAAACACTCATACATTCCACTTAAAAACAACTTTATTTGCACGAGTGTTTCTTAAATGAGTACCAGTGTGTTTTGCTAACAAACACTGGTTGTAATTTGTTCACCAGTAAACCCCACAGGGCATGTTTAGGTCAAATATGACATTTTCACTGCGTAGTAGATTCAAACGGTCTTAAGTTGAATATATTCTATTGACTTATCATCAGTCAGTGGCTTATAACCCTTTTCCACAAGAATTAGTAAACATGGGAAAACCATAGACTGTTTAACATAATGGATGTAGCTATCGTGATGCCTCGAGTTCGACATTTTGGCCATTATCATCTTTTTTTTTTTTCTTTTGGAGCCAGAAGTGCCCATATTTGGACGATAGGGTGGCAGACAATTGACTTCTTTCCTATCGCCAGTAGAGCACAGCCGTATACACAGCTCTACAGTAGAAAGTATGCCTCTCTGTTTTTTTTCACTGCTGTGTCACATGTAATGTCACAAAATCGCTGGAAAACAGGGTTAGTAAACAGTATAACACTGACCTGTAAGAACGGGATGATGCCATCCCGAGCAATGGCCTGCAACAGGCGGGGTGCACCAGTGAGGCTCTGAAGCCCTGCCCCACAGCAGGAGAAAAATGAGCCAATCACAATGACCCAGGGTGACGGCCAGGCCAGAATACCGATAACTGGATTCTTCTTTACTGAGTAACCAAACCTGAAACACCGAAAAGCATACATATGTTATATGTATTGTATATCAGGATTGTGTACCTGTGTGAGACACACCAACGACACATTTTACACTTACTTGTCTCTCAGCACCACTCCTTCAATACAGGCTCCAAACAAGACCACACAGGAGATGTCTACCATAGAGTTAAGGTGAAAATACGTTGCACCATGTATATACTGCAGTAATAAACCTGAACTGACAATACACTACACATAAATACAGATGTAACTGGCAAAACTCTTTTTCCTTTCCATCATTAACTGATATACCTCCCACACATGCATTATGTCGAAAATAGGTTTATACTGTACTGTGTATATACTGTATAAGCTGCACACACACTCCAAAACAGTGTAGAGGATACAGATGAAAGAAGTGGTGAGAATAGCCATTATGGTCCCTATTGGGATGGACCTTTGGGCATCTCTGAGGTCACCAGACCTATTAGAACCAGCCATTATACCTAAAACAAAACACAAGATGTAAAAGTTAGAGTCAGTTTTAGAGGAAGTATTAAATACACTGTACATGGCATTCAGAACATTTTCATGGTAGCAGACAGCTTTTTGCTATGTAAAGCTATAGTGGAGTAATGGCGTCCTGAGCAGAGAATTAAGTCACGCTCCCTCTGTTTGTGTTGTAATCCCAGCTTTTTGTTTTATTGTTGTGGAAGCCGGTCCGGTCACACACGTATGTTATTGCATGTGTGCATGTGTGCATGTGTGTCTCTATGTGATGCAGCAGACTTTCAGCTAACTCCAATGTAAACCTATAGTAAACGGCAATACCTGACACTCAGAGCAGCTAACATAGTATGAAGAGAGAGAAAGTACATGTAGGGTAGTTGGGAGGGGTGGTGGTTGGGTCACACAAACACAGACTTTCACCCAGGAGGCCACTGTACGTGACCCATGAGTGCTTATACATCCATGGTTTTTAAGTTAGTGCTGTTTTAACAGTATGTTACGCAACTTCCATAATACATCATGTACAGATGTCACTCAAGTGATGTGTTTACATCACGCTATAAACTTATTTCAACCTAAAACATTATGTGTTTTCTAAACCTAATCAAACAGTTCTATCGCCTAAACCTAACTGCGACGGTCTGACAACTTTATCCACGTGTGAAAAGTTTCATGCGGGAGACAGCATGTCACATACAGACGTCTCACAGAGACCCCAGAGGGTGCCTTTGGCATCAGAATCACACGCCAAAGGCAGGAGAAAGCATCAGTATTTGACAGCCTCGAATGAGAATGCATTAGCATGTCCCATGCAAAAGCGTAATGCCCACGCCCCGTATCGATACAACAATGTGAAAATGTTTTCATAAAAGTACCTGAGTATTACAGTAAATAAACTACAGTTACCACAAAGCAGTTACATCCATGTCTGTCCAGACTCATATGTAGCCATGACAGTTGACAATGTTTCAAATATGGTTGTTACTACCAAGAAGCCACAAATTCTAAAACATGGATGCTTCACACACATTTTCATCCCAGGCAGCACAGAAGATCTATACAATTAGCAGATTTTAAGGTGAGCACCTGAAATTTGTGTCATTAATTCAGTATCCGACCAAATGGTCTCTCCATCTGTTTCTGAGTTATTAAATTAAATAATGGCCAGAAAAGTGATTTTGCAGAGTATTATTATGTCACATTGATGTCAACCTTTGATCTTTTGGATATAAATTGTCATCATTTTACACTTTTAGACATTTGTGTAAAATTTAGTGTATAAATTCTTCAGTTCTGGGCAAAAACATGTTTTGTGAGGTCACAGTGACCTTGACCTTTGACCACCAAAATCTAATTTGTTCAGTGTTGAGTCCAGGTGGATGTTTGTGCCAAATTTGAGGAAATTCCCTTGAGGCCCTCTTGAGATATTGTGTTCACGAGAATTAGCGGAGTTAAGTCATGATGACCTTGATTTTTTTCCACCGAAATCGAATAATTTTATCCTTGACTCAAAGTGGACGTTTGTGCCAAATTTATAGAAATTCCCTCAAAGCATTCTTGAGATAACGTGTTCATGAGAACAGGGCAGACACATGTACATACAGACAGATGGACAGACAAACCGAAAAAACTATTGCTGGCGCAAAGGCATAAAAATGACATTAATGTAGCTAATCAAAAGTACAAGTACTCATTATTGAATATCCTATCACAATCATTTCTTATTAATATAATCTAAAATGTTAATATTTGTTTGGTGTTTGATGTACCTGTGACAGAGGGGAAGTATATTCCCACCAGCAGAGTGAAATAGGTAGTGATGTCATTGAAGACATAGGGCTTATTGATGTCATTGGGCGTGTCTGGGGCCTCTGCTGAAGGCTGGCTTTTCTTCTCAATGTACATACCAGCTGGATTATAGTCTCCCCACAGGTTGTCTAAAGGAAATGCAGAAGAAAGCATCATCAGCTGGTGTGGATAAACATCAGGAATCATACTCTGGGTCAATGACCATCTTATGTACAAAGTTAATCATTTAGCCTGAAGGTGGCGAAAGATGAAATACTGGTAATACTAGATTTTAGCTTCATGGAGAAACCTTCAGAATACTTCCTATTCTCCTTCTCACCTTTGATAACTCCACTCAGAAGCCCAGGTATGGCCCGTAACTCTGTCAGGTTGTTTAGGTTGAAGTATTCATCGCAGGTTGCGTTGGGATATTTACTGTTACAGAAGAGGCTCCATAGCTCTGTGATCACAGTCTTGTTTTTCACGACCTCCGTCTTTGCACATGTTTCAAACATTTCATTCTTCAGAGATCTGTTTCCCAACAGACAGACGCTGCAGAGGAAGAGAGAAAAGTGTAGTGTAGTTAGATGGAAGCTGCTGTGTCTGTTGTGGTAGATGGAGTTCTGGCTCTCTGGGAAACATGTCCAGCTGCAATGATACAGACTTGAGCTTCAGTCTCAGCTGAGTGTGATGAAACCCAACAACTGAAGTGCAAGAATTTCTCCTTATCTTTGCTTTTGCATCAGAATCAGGCACTGGAGATGTAACATTTAGCAATTTGTTCATAAAAATATTTCACCATGAAAAACATGTCAGTGCTTAATGACAAATGGGTACTTATCTCTTAGCAACTCACTTAAACTCTGGGGGTTCGATGATTGTCTTGATGACTCCCGCATAAGTGGCCATGATTGAGAGAACAACACAGGCCAGAAACACCAGAGCCAGTTTGTTCACATACCTGAAGACAGAAGGGGAGTACATGTAACTCTGTGTGTGTGTGTGTGTGTGTGTGTGTGTCGTGTGTGTGTGTGTGTGTGTGTGTCTGTGTGTGTCTGTGTGTCTGTGTGTGTTTGAAGATACTTACTTTACCCCTACAAACACTACCAGAGCCATCAGGAGCAGGCAGCATGTCCCATAGACACGCATATTGTTGGACATCGCAGCACTTTCACCTTCTTTAAACACTGTTGCTGTTGGAACAATATACGTCTGGCAGTGGGGAGACAGTAGAAAGAGAGAGAGAATGTGTTATTAAAATGCTGTTGACGTGGCTGACCTCTGATCTGTCAGAATGCTAACGTACCAGCAGAATCTCTATGGTGCCCAGTATGTACATGGATCCAGCGAAGGTGGTTCCAAGGTAGAAACAGAGACCAACTGCTCCTCCAAACTCTGGACCCAGTGATCGGGAGATCATGTAGTATGAGCCACCAGCTTTGGAGTAATGAAATCAGTCAGTTAGACTACACAACTTTATTTTGGTAATATATGATAACACTTTATTTGGCATTTTAACTTAAACTTTGGATGGGGAAGACATATGGAGGCATATTCCTGCCACGCCAGGAAAAAAAAAAGATCACTATCAGGTAATAACTTGAAAGAAAATGTCTTTTTATAACAAAATGTTTTTTCATGTTTTTACAAGATATATAGATATTTTTATGTTATAACTTGAAAAAGTTCTTGTTATAACAACTTGTTATAATGTGAAATGTTGCATGTTATTGTTAACATGAAATATTTCATGTTATTATTCAATACTGATCATTTTATTTTTATTTATTTAGTTAGTTTTTTTCTGGCATGGAAGGAATACATTTCCACAGTGACATGACCCCCACAATTTTCAAATTTTCTGTCTATGTGAAAAGAACATTTATCATAAGTTTACAATAATAACTAATAATAATAATTATAATAATAAAAGCTTGCATCTCAGCGCAACTCGAGGGTGCTGGCAGGACACCAGCTGGTGCGGCAGTTCATTTTTGTGAAAGTCAGACACCGCACACAGGAGTGCGATGGCATATCCTTCTTCATTCCAGTGTGGGCGCTGGAATGACCTATTTCACATTGAAAATTTCAGCATGAAAATTTCAGGTAAACCAAAACACAAGTGTCTGAAAAGACGTACTTCTTGTTGCCAGTAGGTAACGCTATGTGCATGACTGAATATTGTCATATCCGTGTGAAGTGTGGTGTAGATTGGATAATTTAAGCAAAAGTTATAGGAATTTCGTGTTTCATGGTGAGATATCAAAACTTGATGCTTTGTTCAACGTAGTCTCGCGTGACCAGCCTCCCTTACTTCGGAATGGGAGTCTGGGGACATTCGTCTTTCGTTTTGTAATAGAAATGGGCGGGGATACCCAGACCACGTGACAGCGTTGCCATAGGTGCGGCACGTGTGTTACATGTAAGAGACACTGTGGCTCTGCAATATAGCTGAATCAAATGAAATCATTTCCATTATAATCTCCTCTTGCAATGCACTGAACACTTCCTTTTCTGTTGTACTACGGACAACTATTCAGGGAACAGCAATTCCGGTGTAGGCGGGTATAAGGCAAAGCTAATCAGCCGTTGGTCGAAGAAGTACGGAAGTACACGGATTTGGATCCAACCACATCACTGCCGCTGGGAGCCAGCGCTAGTTCTATTACAACTTTCCTATAGGAATGTCCACAGACAACAGAGTCAGCCAGCATGCTGACGTCATCGGCGTCTGTGTAAGAGACTATGTTCAACGCTGACTAAATCTTGTAATAGCTTTTGATCACAAAGTTGTCTAGGTGGTACACACCAGGTTTGAAGTCAATCGGATTATATCTGCAGGAGGAGTTTGTTAAAATGTGAAGCATAGAAAAAGCCAAAATTGACCATGACAGAGCGGCAGTAGCTCAGTCCATAGGAACTTGGGTTAGGAACCGGAGGGTCGTCTGTTCAAGTCCCCGTCTGGACCAAAATATGGAGCGTGGACTGGTAGCTGGAGAGGTGCTAGTTCACCTCCTGGGCACTGCCGAGGTGCCCCTGAGCAAGGCACCGAACCCCCCAACCCACCTGTCATGGGCAGCCCACTTAGTGCAGGTATAGGTCCAGTTTGTGCATGTGTGTGTTCAGACCGGTGTGTAAGTGACAACAGAGTGAAAAATTGAATTTCCCCTCGGGGATTAATAAAGTATATAAATTTAAATTAAAGATTAAAATTAAAAAATGACATGAAACATGTATGTACCAATTTGTGTACATGTCAATGAAACATGCCGCAAGGGCTGCTCTTTAAAGGGCATGGCCAAGACATTTTGCCACGCCGATCAGCAAAACTTATATCATGTGTCCAGGCCTAGACTATAAAGGAGCATTTCATGTATAATATTAATAATAATATTAGTAATAGTAATTCCCTCAGTTTCAAGAGGGTCCTCGCACTGCGAGTGCTCAGGTCCTAATAATAATTTGGGGGGTTTAAAGAGATCTCTGTGAATATTTTCTAGTCATTGAGAGACGTTTTTGACCCATTGTCTAAGCTTGCATATATCTACTTTGAGAATTCTTAGGTTGCTGCATTTGATTATCTGGGAGGCCTAAATATAAGTTAATTTATCCAACAACCAACAACCAAAAAATTGAAGATTAGGGAAAAAAGTAATACAGTTATTGCAGTTAGAATAAAAACAAACATCATTTTGTGAAGCAGAAATTTATATTTAGTCAGATTTATCTTGTGACCCCAGGTTGAGAATAGCTGCCCTTCACAACAGTATAACTACCATCTTATTTCCTGGTTCTTTTATAAGCACACAAATAAATGAGTGTGTACTTATGTGTTCTGTCTCAGAGCATTGCCTTTATTTTCCCTATAATTACTTTTTTTTCATTCACCACAGAAATGCTGTTGAACAAAGGGTGAAAAGTATTTATTCATGTTTCCATTCTTTTTGTTGTGTCATGATGCAGTCACCATAACATATGCACAGGAGGTTACATAAGGCCGTGATCAGTATGAATTACTTTAGCAGTGGTAAATGAAAACACTACACTGTATCCAAGCCATTTTATGTGAATACTGCCAGTGGAATAGAAAAAAAACCAAACAAAACATTTCATAATGTACCTGGGACAACTCCATTGGTTGCTATGGCGCTCATTGAAATGGCTGTGAGCAAAGTCTGTGTGGAGAGAAAGAGGACAGATGTTAAATTCTGAACAGAAGAAAAGAGAGTGCAGGGTGCACTGTGTTATTTGTACAAAATTATAATATTATAAATTATAATAATTTAAATGAGTTTCACATGGTAAACTGTCATTAAATATTGCCAGTGCTTTGTTCAAGCTTGCTCAAAAGGTGTATTATTTTATCTTTTATTTTATTGTATTTATTTTTTTTGCTCATTTAAAAGTCTAATATACCAGTCATTACTGTATTGGGCTGGGTATATTTTAAACATTTTGTAATTAAATTACAGAAAAATAATTTTTGGTGATATTTTGGATCTTGGAAAATAACATAATATAATATTAAAATATGTTTCTTTTACAAAACCCTTTTATCATTTTACAAAAGAGTGAATGAATGAACCTTATTTAAATAGCACATTTCATACACAGATTGCAGCACAAACGTGCATTACAGTTCAGCAGCAAAAACAACAAAGACATGTTTAAAACAATACACATACAAGAGGAGGAAAGATTTTTGAAAAAAAAAAACAACAACCCTGAAAACAGACTTGAATTTATTTTTCCAAGGTGAAGGTAAAGAGAACTTGTGGGATCACTGTAAGGACAAAGCTTTATGCCTGAAGATATCTAGAAAAATTTAAAATCATATCTTTGAGAATATTACAGGTCATCATCGCAGTGGTTTCTTTTTCAGGTTCCCTATCAATCAATCAATCAAACTTTATTTGTATAGCACTTTTCATACATTAAAAATGCAGCACAAAGTGCTTCACAGAATAAAAACAAACAAAAATAATACATACATATTGAAAACCCGCCCCTCCCACCCCCACATATAAACACACACACACACACACACACACACACACAGTCAATATAGTCAATAACATGGCTGGGCACTGAGGAACCAGGTGAGGAAAGAACCACCTATGGGGAGCCATCCACACTGAGAGGCGCTACAGCCCACGGCCACAGGGAGCGCCGCCACAAAGACCACCTAATCTCCACATGGTGTGGAGATTAGGAAAAATTAAAGCGTTAAAGATTAAAATAATATTAATAATAATAATAAATAAATAAATAAATGAAGATTTAGAAACTAAAATGCATAAAGATTTAAAAATAAATCATTTAAAAGCATTAGAAAGTAAAAAGAACACATAATAGAAGAATTAAAAGAGTAAAAGAAATCAGTTAAAAGCTAAATTAAAAAGGTGAGTCTTGAGCCTCCTTTTAAAAACATCAACAGTCTCTGCAGTCCTGATGCTCTCCGGCAGGCTGTTCCATAAGTGAGGGCCATAATGGCTGAATGCAGCCTCCCCGTGGGTTTTTGTTCTAACTCTTGGAACAATTAAAAGGCCGGTGCTGGAGGACCTCAGGATCCGCGAGGGTTGATATGATAAAAGCAGGTCAGATAAATAAGATGGCCCAAGGCCGTTAAGACATTTAAAAACTAATAAAAGAACCTTAAAATCGATCCTGAAACACACGGGGAGCCAATGCAGCGATTGTAAAACTGGTGAAATGTGCTCCCGCCCTCTGGTCCTCGTCAGCACTCGTGCGGCTGAGTTTTGGAGTAGCTGCAGGTTAGAGATGGTCTTTTTGGGAAGACCAGACAGCAGGGCATTACAGTAATCTAAACGACAAGAGATAAAAGCATGCATCAGCACCTCCGTGTTAGCCTGAGAGAGAAACGGGCGGACTCTGGCTATATTCTTAAGATGATAAAAACCTGTCTTTGTTACGTTTTTGATGTGTGGAATAAAACTAAGCTCAGAGTCAAAAATGACGCCCAGGTTCTTTACACATTGTGAAGGTTTAAAATCTTGTAGTTTTGGTAAAAGTTTCTCTCTCTGGCCTTCAGGACCAATAATTAAAACCTCTGTTTTGTCCTGGTTGAGCTGTAGGAAATTCACAGCCATCCATGACTTGATATCTAAAATGCAGTTAAAAAGGGTTTCAATCTGCGTAACTGTGGAAGCTGATGCCGTGCCTCCTGATGACGTCCCCAAGGGGAAGCATGTATAGATTAAAAAGAATTGGACCTAAAATTGACCCTTGGGTCATATTAATCTATTTTTTTACCCGTGGGGAAAAGAGTTTGGGTTCAAGGCCAGATGAGAATCTGTAATGAGAGCGAACCATCATAACAATGGTAGTCCCAAAACGTCCTTTTTTCTTGTTCCTTCACACTTCAAGAATATTTTTCAACCAAAAGTCACCTCTGACATTAGACAGCTGAAGTTTTTTATATGTTAAATTTTGCTGTACAAGAATTTTATTGAAATAAAATCATCTACATGATCTATTTTCTACATAAAATTTATGTTTAGGAGTTCACTATCTGATTAAGTTTACTGATAACACTTCTCATAATCAGAGTTTCATTGAGCTTTACATTTAGCATTTGAAAAAGATAAGCACAAACTGTTAAGTATTTGACATTTTTTGATACCCAGTGCTATGAACATATTTCCGTAATTACATGAGCAGGTATTGCCATTTACATGTATACCCAGCCCTACTGATTATATGGGACCTACTGAAAAACATAACCATGGATGGATCACTAGCTGGGCCTACCCAGCACAGGCCCAGGGGCCCACATTGTCAGGGACCTTCACCTGCAAAATGTCACTCTACAAGATAAAACAACTACAAAGAGATACAAAACAACCACAAGAAGACACAAAGTTACTACAAAGAGATGCACAGGAACTACAAAGAGACACAAAAATGACCACAAAGAGACACAAAGCAACTACAAAGAGACACAAAATGACCACAAATAGACACAAAATGACTACAAAGAGACACAAAAAATGACCACAAAGAGACACAAAGCAAGTACAAAGAGACACCAAATGACTACAAGGAGACACAAAATGACTACAAAGACACACCAAATGACTACAAAAAGACACAAAGCAACTACAAAGAGACACCAAATGACTACAAAGAGACAAAATGACCACAAAGAGACAGAAAGCAACTACAAAGAGACACCAAATGACTACAAGGAGACACAAAATGACCACAAAGAGACACAAAATGACTACAAAAAGACAAAGCAACTACAAAAAGACTCAAAATGAACCGCAGACACAAAACTACAAAGAGACAAAATTACCACAAATAAAACAAAACCACAGTGAGATGCATAATGACAAAAGGAGCAACAAAAGGAGGCTAAATATCATTTGAGTCTGTGTGCAATGCTCCTGTGCAGGAGAGGTGATGAGATCTTCTGCATGTCTGTGCCCAGGGGCCTGTTGTCTCAGAATCCTCCTCTGAATATAACAGTCTCCTAAAGAGCACCGCTTAGATCATATCTTCAGCCTCGGTCTCTTTGGTCTAAAGCATCAAAGCCTTACAGGGTGAGTATATATTGTAGGAGGGTGTTGGGTGCAGATTGTTCCCATCACATCACATGAGTGCTGAGCATTTCAGTTCAAACAATTTAAACAGTCAGCTCTCTGTTTGGCTGGGGAGCTACTGACGTAAGAAAAGCAGTTGTAAATAAGACACAAATTTTCTGCTTGTTTTGAGACATGGCATTGTCCCATTCAGGCATTTATAAAATCATAAAGAACGCCTAAGAAGGACTTTGTTTGTTTGTCTTTCTTTCATTCACAGATGCCACCAGTCACACTTAGATCAAAAATAGTGACATTGATGCATTGCATTCCTCTTGTTGTTTTTTTAAGTGTGCTTACTATACTCAGGTTGGTGTCATACGTCGTCCTACTCATTGTGTCACTGTCAGCAGAAAGTGCTTGGTTGTCGGGTTTATAAATTACTCACGCAGATGCAGCACATGGAGACGATGGCAAAGGATCCCAGGATTCCTGCTGTGCCAACGATCCAGGTGAGACGCAGAAAGAGAATCACTCCCAAGATGTTCTGCATGCAGGGCAGGTAAACTCCGATGAAGGTTCCCATTTGAGGGACCTGGGGATGGATAAACACACACAAACATGCAGATAAGAATCAACAAGGTGAACAGAGGAAAGGAAAACATCAATCAAAAAACAATACAAATTCTTATCTAAGGTCATGTCCTTTTATTTTAGGCAGCTGTAAAGCACAGTGGGTTAAATATAATTCCAGCATGACTGGAATATTTCCTTATTTATTCATTTTACAGAACTAAAGATGTGCTTCTGACTTGTAGTAATGCCCAAAAATCACGTAATCTGTGCCAGTAATTTGCGCATAACCCATGTGTTTTGGAAGGCTGCCATCATGTGACCAATGTACTGATGGGAATAAAGAAGGAAGCAATCCTGAGCGGTCCAGTAAGGAGGCAGCTTGAGGTGATGGATGGGTCAAAAAACATAGGACTTTCCCCCCAGGAGTTTCCTTTAGGTGATGGATGTAAGGAATTATGTGAGATTTGAGTTCATCTTGAGTCATTTTAAAGTACGTCCATATTGTGTTCCTTTATCTAAAGCACAGTAACTTTACTTGCTTAAAGCTAACCTTCGCAACTTTATGCAAATAACGTAATTTTAGGTTAAACATAATTTGTGGGGCACTAATTTGTAGGATGTCATACAAACCGTTGTATGAGGATATGCGGATATTTAGAACATGCACATTTGTCCATGCCTCCTTAAAAAAAAACAGTAGCAAAGGATATTTTTTCTGACAAAATTAAAGCAAAATAAATTATATCATAATTTGATGCAGAAAACACACAAATTGGTGCATAAAAATTCACCAGAATGCAGAATATGTGTTTGACGCTCAAAATTTTAGGACCCCTCACCACCCCCCATTTCATATGTATCCCTCCAATGTTGAAATAAAACCTAAGCCTTTGTGTAGTGAGGAGTCTGATTAAGGACATTGACTTGAGTGAGACAATGACACATTTCATTATTAAAAACATGCTATGTGAGAAAAAAATGTGAATATGTGTTTGACGCTAAAGAAAGATGGTTTAAGATATTTAAAAGATGTACTATACTGAATAATAGTTTGTGATGTTTTTTTTTTCACAAAAAACACTTAACATCTACCCCATCTACATCCTTAACAAAGCAGATAAATATACAAATACAGCTCATTTTAAGGAAGTGTAACTGCTGGACAGACGATGTCTCCTACTCCACTGAAAAGTCAGCTCTCTGAATGTGTATGTGCAGTGGAGGTTTCAAATTCCCACAATGCCACAAACTCTGCAAGTTGCATATTGGACCACAGTTGGCTAGATGTGATGTCACAAAATCAGCTTGTATGTACGTGTCTTAAAACTTAACTTTGAGTTGAGTGTAGAAAAACTTTGAGGTGTTGACTGTGACTCTACACATGCAACGTTCTGCACAGTGAAGCTAAAACATCCAGGTGAAGGAACAAGAAGCATTTTCTAGTGGAGGGAGACTCCAAAGTTTATAGACTGATGCAACACAGATGTTAATGGACTGAAGTGGGAGTCTGGGAGGTTCCTTTCTAGGTTCATTTAAATTGAAACAAGAATCAAATTGATTAGATCAACAATGATTTCCTACATCTTTCAGTTAGAGAGGATGTGCCTGAACAACCCAAATGGAAGACAATCAAAAATGACACTGAAATTGTCCTTTAGAGACATAGACCAGAAATTGCTGTCCTGACTGCAATTTATATTTTCCTACCGGTGTAAATTTCTCACCACATATCATTTCATTTTATTGCAACACATTAAATCTCAAACATCTCTTTAAGTGTCGTCCACACTGTAAAAAACTTACACTGAATATTTTAGCTTTTTTCCAAAAGCAAAATAAAGATGATTTTTGAATACATTAATGAAAAAAGGTACTTGCAAATTCAAGTATGATCCATGGTACATACAAAGTAATGCACCCTTTCTTGTGCTGTGTCTCTACAGCATCTCACTAGCTTTCCCAAAACTGTTAAGTGTACGTACCGTTTTTCGAGTTACAAACAATCAGTCCTGTGCTTTCTCCATTGCACTCAGTGGTCTGTCTAAATAATGTGAAGTGCCTGATGTTGATCTCCAGATTTCCCACATCTTCTCTCTTGTGTTACTCTCACTTTCTCTCTTGTCTGCTTTTCTCCTCCTCACTCTCTCTGCATAGTCAGTCTGATTCTTTTTGGTCTCAGATCTCCCCTCAGCGCTCTGTATCATTCAGGGGGCGGGTTTCACTGAAACATCATCAATGCTTCCACACAAAGCTACAGTCCAAGGTCCTACTGTGTCTCACTCAGAGACAGAAAGACTTAAAAAGAGAGGAGTGTTGTAATTGGAGCCTATTCCTGATGATTTCATACAATTTAGATTCCTACTTATTTTTCTACTTTTTTTGTGAATTGGGAGGAGTTTAAATAGTGGTGGGTATTTTATGAGCTGATTCTAGTATTGCTTAGACTCAATATGCTTAAATCCAACTGCCTACAAACAAATTCAGGGCCAAACTGTTATCCTACCAATGTGGAAAAGGCTTTGAAAGAGCATTTAGACTTTCATGTGAGGATGTATTATTTTGCAGAAAACTTAATCAGAAAATTTTACAGCTTTTCTTTTTGGTGTCTGGTAAAAATCTCAGTATCTAAAAAATCAGGGCTACGGCCCTGGTTGCTCCAGCACAGCTGATATCCAGGGATTAAAGCTGTCACCAGATTCCGTGTGCTCAACTCTTGTAAATTTCTGTAGGATAAATTAGCAAATAAATGGTACTTTGTATGATGTAAAATAGCTTTTTAAGAGACGGAGCCTTGAGTCAAGTCATATTTGCTATACTGTTGTAGGCTGCTGCTGTGTTCTTTATTCTATGTAAAACCTCTGCAGTCCACAACCCTCAGAACAAACAAAAACCAGTCCCATGTCATTTTTACTGGGCTGGGCAGCTCTCACTGTCTTCAAGAGTCTTCTATACCAACTCATACTCATTCCTAGGTTGTAAAATACGGATGTTTTGTCACGGCCCTCTGTGTATCATAGCGACGCTCAGGGAAACCTTTAGCACCTTTTTGTGAGGCACCACTAAAATACATTGTAACATGTGATGTTGTGAAACAGCCGCGGTTAGGTTAAAGCAACAAAACTACTAAAGATAATGCTTTGGGTTAAAATAACTATTTGTTACATAGCATGATGTCAGTGCCTGATGTAAATTCCATTCCAACATTACATTAAAACAACACCGACTTTTGGTTTCACATGGGTCATGAACTTCGGTCTTGTGGATGAAAGTCCAGTTTAGTTTGACCCATCCACCTATTCTCCCACCCTACATGCATTTCTTGCTTTTTATACTAAGTCAGTTGCTCTCAGCATCAAGTATTGCCAATGATAGGTTTTGCATTGCCTTATGTCACTTGTGCCTCAGCCAAATAGTTGCACTTTAACACAGCGCAAAGACTACAGCCGATGGCAAACCAGCACATATTTTTTGTGTCTGTGTGAGAGGAAATAACTCTCCACACCAGCAGACAGAGGTAATCTGTATTCATCATTCAAAAGCCTAAAAACTGGAGGACTATTTTGATGCTAATCAATCAGTTAGCATATTGACAACACAATCAAATGTTGAAAGAACAGAGCATACAGAAAGAACTGTTGAAAGAACAGAACACAACCCATCATGAAATGTTTCTGCCAAAGAGCTCAATGGCTGAAGAACAACAATCTTACCTTATGTAACAAGCTTGTCTAACTCCCTATGGTCTTTGTTTACTTTCCTCACTTCCATTTCTTTCCTCATGCGCTGAACTGGACTGCTAATTAGACTGATTTTATTCACAGACGGGCTCCGCTGACACCAAATTAACATGCTAAATCAGCTGAAAAAAAAGGCTGCCAAGGGCCAATGAGGCCAACAGTGTGAGACACGCTGCAGCTACTAGGGTGACAGATGCTGACCGACAGCCCAACACTGACCGACTGACTTGGCGTGTTAGGGCCTTAAGGATACATTTGGTGTCAATATCACACAGGGCGTGACAAAGTGGCAGTATTTGATGTCTTGATTCAACTTGACTTTGACTTGATATTAATGACTTCAGACTTGACCTAGACTTGAGACAGATGACTCCAAGGACTTGACTTTTCCTGGTTAAATATTTGCATTTGTCTAAATACTGTTAAGTTTTTGGAACATGATTGGGTGATTTCTAGTGCTACGTGTGCAAATCTGGCAAGCTACGAAGGCGCAGCAGACCAGCAGAAGCCAATACACAAGACAGCTATCATGAAGGGGTTTAGTCCAAAATTTATAAAATCTGAATTGAAGCATTATACTGTAGATGACAGAAGTAAGACGAGAACAGCAGTATGCAAGGTCTGCTGCTTAAAAATCACTGACACGACTACCACAACATCCTACATTCACAATGAAAGGTACGTGAATATGTCTTTTTTTAAGTTGACTTATTAGCTTATTGGCTGATCAAACATTAGCTAGAATCCTCGCTAAAGCATAAAAAGTAGAAACGGGAAAATGCTTGTCTGACTGTCTGAAGGTAACGAAATCTGACTAAAAAAGCTCACTTTTTAACACATTATGAGTAATTTGTTTAATCTCTACAAAAGCCTGTGAAAAATTGTCAGGTTGTGGTTTTCACTGGGGAGTCTGTGCTGGGCTGCTTGGATGTTGGACACAGTCACTTCTTGTTTTTTAATATGTTAATGAGTAAGCTTTAAAGCTTTGGGTTGGTGTATGTTGTTAGGTTCAGAGTAATGCTGCTTCTCCCTGTTTCCAGTCTTCACGCTAAAATAGAGCTCAGCATTTCCTTTTTTATATGAACTGACTGATATGAGAATGGTGTGAATGTTTTCATCTAACACTGCAAGAAAGCTGAAAGTGTATTTACCTAAATGTAAAACGATTTCTTAAATTTTTTTATTCTTATCCGTGATGACCAACCATAGAGAGACTGACTTTAACAGAGCCCTCCCTGACCCCGTTTATACATGGAGACAGTCCATTTATTCCCACACACAACAGATTTTACAGACCAGGTGATATTTGAATCATACACATCTCCTTAAATACGTATTAACTCTGCACATCACCCCGGACTGGAAACAAAGATATTGTGAAAAAGACAGTCACAAGTGGCCTTATGCGAATATTAATGACATGCAGCTCTATCTTTCTGTGTGTAACCCTAACACTATGAGAAGCAGGTGTGCCAGCTGGCTCAGAAGAAAGGAAACATCTCCACTCTCCACCTCCAGCTGGCTCTAAAACACAACCTCCCACACCACAGACACGCTGCAGTTCTCCTCTCTATGAGGACTGAGGGAAGTTCACTAGCCAGACTGAAACACTGTTTTTCAATCTAGCCAACAGTGAGAAGGTGACTGGCGGAGGACACAGTCTGCTACACACACTCTTTGAGCTGCACTTTGTATTCGAGCAGAAGAAAAGTGTCCATTCTGATCTCAACATTAACATGAATGTTACCAGTCATTTGGGGGATTTCAGGTCTTTTTCACACGCAGAGCAGGCTGTTCATACCAAACACCAAGTACAAAGGAGATGTTGTTGGTCTTGTGACTTTGCTCAAAGGTTGATAGAAACTACAGTTATCAAGATACTATCAAAGAAACAATATTAGGTTGTTTGAAAAGCAGTGATGTGTGAGCGACTCTACTGTATGGGTGCCTGGAAGGTGTCACATCATTTGTCAGTTAAAAGTTTATGTGGTCTGGGTGTAGCTCACCCAATAGAGTGTGTACAATTGAAGCTGAGTGTTGACCGCAGTGGCCTGGGCTATTGCTGCATGTCATCCCCTCTATCTCCCCTGCCTTTCCTGTCTCTTTCTGTCCCCATCAACATAATACAGAAATGTTGGGGGGGGGAAAGCAGTGTGTTTGGTTTAACTAGTGATGTATTTTGCCTTTACTGGGTGTTTTTGCTGTGCTGCTCACTTCTGCAGTCTGAGTCACTGTGTCACATGAACACTGAAGTGATTCAGACATTCACTGGTCAGAATATCTTGTGTCTCACTATCTGCCTAAAAATACCTCTGTACTCCCCTTATCTTGGCACCAAACCAACTTCCACTTCTTCTTAGCCCTGTTTGCTTTATTCACCAAAGCTTTCACAGTGGCTAGCCATCTCAGTTTTTCAAGTTCAGAGCTGAGAAGCACCCTGACAACTGTTGTGGTACTGGACCTGCAAGACATCTAAGATGTACCCGATGAATTCAACATTCCACTCTAGAAAATGTGCTAGTGCTTGCAATGTATATTTATATTTCTTTCTAGAGGTGAAACACTCAATCAGTTATTGTTGAAAAACTGAAAATTAATCTGCAACAATTTTCATAATCTAGAAATTTGTGAATTTTTGAAGCTGCCACCTAAGACCTGAGCATACAGGTGCAACCACATCGCAATGGCCGACAAAGCACTCGTGTTATTTTGGAGTGTGCAAGCCACCACAGACCTGTGGATGAAACTATTTTGGACAAGTTAATTGCAGTGCTTGCTAAATGAGTGTAAACTGACCAGTCCAGTCAACACTGTGAAAGCCTCTGGCGATGCAGACCTCCTGCTTATTTCTGTAAACAGAAAACCATTTCCCTCAGCCGAAAGAAAGTGTTTTTATAACTTTATTTCACAGATAAGAAGCAATAAGTTGTTAAGACAATAAAGCCCCCACACAATGGCATTTTAAGTTTAATAAGTCTAAGTGTAAAATGCTTGTGTTAAGAACATTTGCATTTTGTATTTGTGGGGAAAATGTGTCCAGCAACTGCTTTGTCTGTGTATCTTGAGAGTTACATTGAAGCCAATTTGTGTACTTGTGTTTGAAATTGTTCCTATTAAGCCATATTTAAGGTGTGACTTGGGGGTGTAACTGCAGTGCGACACAGACATACTGCCACACAAGTGTATTATGTATTAAAGGGACGTCCTCAGGTTGGCATGTTGTGACCAGTCATACGCCTTACCATTGCAGGGAACAATACTTTCACCTGCATGAATCACAGGGAGCAACGAAACTGGAACTCCTGAACACTTTCACATTAACCAGAGATCAGTGGACATCAGAGAGTAATAAAAATTATATCAGAGAAACGACACTTTCTCGAGTGAAACAGTGTAAACCCCAAACCCCTAAGTCATGGTTTAAAGACTATACTGTTGTAGGAGCGCAGCACTGATTTGAAATAAAGAAATTGAAAAGTTAAGATCATAAAGTAAATTTGATGGCATTTATTTGACACGCTGGTAAGAACTGCTTTACCTTGTTATTAAGGAGTTAGAAACTATTTTGAATTGCAAAATAATGGAATTTTAAATATGCGATAAAAATGGGATTGATTGCCATTAACTATTGAAATTCAGCGATTAAACACAGTGAAAAAATTTAATCATTTTATAATGCAATCTATCGGCATACAATAAAAGGGGTCACTGTCCTAATATTTTCTTAATACACTGTATCATCAAGATTGATGTAATACATGGTTTAAGAAAATAGGAAGAACAAACGTGAAAAGAAAAAGTAAGATATCAAAGATAAAACTGGCCCTCAAATACATCACAAAGATCCTTTTCATGTTGAACACTAGTTTAGTGGTAATACCCATGTCATCAGTTATAGTGTGTATTTGTCACACAGAAAAGACACAAGTCCAATCTCCAAAACCCAAATCTGAACCACAAGGATTACCCGGCAGTTTACTGTATGTCTTCTGCAGCACAAGCAATACAGAATCTATTAGATCATAAAAGATCTTACAAGATGAAAGACTTAAAGAAACTGGCGCGTCTTTCTCACAATACAGTCCATTCTTTAGATATGTTTACAAGCTGCTTTATCTCCTCTTGACATCATCGGAAGGTCAAAGTCTGCAGTAAACAGTACTCAAACTGTATAGAAAGCCGGAGAGACTGCAAAACTGAGAAGCTGGGGTTATATTTGCAGAAACTCATTTACCGCCTATACCTTAAATCAGAAGTCTACACTGTACACAGTGCGACAATGATAGCAGAATGCATTTAAAGGCATATGAGATGCCAAACAGATCCTGTACTAGCACCCTTTGGATTACTGTCCTTTACATTAGAAGAACCATGCCAGAACTGGTTTCTACAGCAAATATGCTGGCTGCTTCAACATAAAAGCAATCCCTACTGAAGATCACATAGTCTCAAAAACTTGCATTATCAAAATTTTCACTGTCTCAGAAAAAGACGTCCATACCATGACAGCGACCCTTCTGACCCCATCCTCATTCTCTGCCTCCTCGTGCTCACGAACACCCTGGGTCAGGTTGGTGTAGTTGGCCAGCTTGTTGAGCAGAGATGATACCATGGGGGTACTGTCCATTTCCTCCTGCAGAGATGGAGAAAAAACAAATAAAATTAAGCATGCAAATTCCTTAAAACCTTAAAACATCTTAACCAGAACCAAGAGGTATCACCACATCACTCCTGTTTTAACTCTGTAATGCGGCTTCCCTTTATGTTTAGATACGATTTTAAGATCTTACTACTTTTAAGGCTCTTTATGGCTTTTCGCCTTGCTGTATTTCTGCCCTTTTAGTACCACATGAGCTTATACATAGCTTCAGGTCTTGATTCAAAGGTCTTGTATCTGTCACAGCTAGGACCCAAGGCTCTGGAACAACCTGCCCTGGGAAATACTTAAACCATTTTTTGGACATACTTTTATCAGAGCACTTATCCTGATTTTACTTGAGTTTGTATGTTATTTTACTTGGATTGTCTTTTATTTTCTTAATTCTGTTTTCATCTTCTTCAGTCTTTGGAGCCAGCAACAGTCTGCAACATAATAACATAATCTTCCTGTACCATACAGAAGACACTTGCTGGTTGGAAAATGCAGCTTTTTTTTCCCACATGTGCATAAAATACTTAAACAATCATAGACAATGTACATTTGTCATTTTTGTCTCACCTCAAACAGGGCCATGTTCTTGCCTTCATAATAGTGTTCTTGGTCATCATCTGAGTTGATGAATGGACTGGACTCTCTGTGGCTGTCATCTCCTAGTGGGGTACACAGGAAAAACACCCATGCTGTTAGTTGCACGCTATTGATAGAGCAGCAAGAGAACAGAGGTTTTGTTCTTGTGTAGTATCCTTAACAGTTGAGGCAGTTCTGGATTGTATTACAAGCAGTGATGAACTATACTACTGGTCCTGGTTGTGTCGTAGTAGTGACAGTAGTGGGACCGGATGTAAGGGTGATAAATACATCCGGTCCCACTACTGTCACTACTACGACAGTAGTGGGACCGGATGTAAGGGTGATAAATACATCTCCAAGTAGGTAATTCAAACTATTTAAGAAGCTTAAATTACAACCCATATTTTGTAAGGTGGCGAACTCCAGTGGCCATATTAATTATTACAGCAGAAAAGGAGGAAGTCAGGCAGCGTAGTATATAAAGCGACAAATTCCACTTTGGGAGGGAGGGGATGTGGTCAACCAAGCACAGGACTTTCACCCAGGAGACTGCCGTTTGTGTCTTGTCTAACACCAAGTTATGTAAAGAACATAATGTAGTACCTTAGTAGAAAGCATAGGCTACGTAGTTTTGGTGCAATGGTATTATGGGCTGTTAGGGACATTAATTTAAACATTCAGAATGACCATACATATACAGTACAGGCCAAAAGTTTGGACACACCTTCTCATTCAATGCGTTTTCTTTATTTTCATGACTATTTACATTGTAGATTCTCACTGAAGGCATCAAAACTATGAATGAACACATGTGGAGTTATGTACTTAACAAAAAAAGGTGAAATAACTGAAAACATGTTTTATATTCTAGTTTCTTCAAAATAGCCACCCTTTGCTCTGATTACTGCTTTGCACACTCTTGGCATTCTCTCCATGAGCTTCAAGAGGTAGTCACCTGAAATGGTTTCCACTTCACAGGTGTGCCTTATCAGGGTTAATTAGTGGAATTTCTTGCTTTATCAATGGGGTTGGGACCATCAGTTGTGTTGTGCAGAAGTCAGGTTAATACACAGCCGACAGCCCTATTGGACAACTGTTAAAATTCATATTATGGCAAGAACCAATCAGCTAACTAAAGAAAAACCAGTGGCCATCATTACTTTAAGAAATGAAGGTCAGTCAGTCCGGAAAATTGCAAAAACTTTAAATGTGTCCCCAAGTGGAGTCGCAAAAACCATCAAGCGCTACAACGAAACTGGCACACATGAGGACCGACCCAGGAAAGGAAGACCAAGAGTCACCTCTGCTTCTGAGGATAAGTTCATCCGAGTCACCAGCCTGAGAAATCGCAAGTTAACAGCAGCTCAGATCAGAGACCAGATGAATGCCACACAGAGTTCTAGCAGCAGACCCATCTCTAGAACAACTGTTAAGAGGAGACTGCGCCAATCAGGCCTTCATGGTCAAATAGCTGCTAGGAAACCACTGCTAAGGAGAGGCAACAAGCAGAAGAGATTTGTTTGGGCCAAGAAACACAAGGAATGGACATTAGACCAGTGGAAATCTGTGCTTTGGTCTGATGAGTCCAAATTTGAGATCTTTGGTTCCAACCGCCGTGTCTTTGTGAGACGCAGAAAAGGTGAACGGATGGATTCCACATGCCTGGTTCCCACTGTGAAGCATGGAGGAGGAGGTGTGATGGTGTGGGGGTGTTTTGCTGGTGACACTGTTGGGGATTTATTCAAAATTGAAGGCACACTGAACCAGCATGACTACCACAGCATCCTGCAGCGACATGCCATCCCATCCGGTTTGCGTTTAGTTGGACGATCATTTATTTTTCAACAGGACAATGACCCCAAACACACCTCCAGGCTGTGTAAGGGCTATTTGACCAAGAAGGAGAGTGATGGAGTGCTGCAGCAGATGACCTGGCCTCCACAGTCACCGGACCTGAACCCAATCGAGATGGTTTGGGGTGAGCTGGACCGCAGAGTGAAGGCAAAGGGGCCAACAAGTGCTAAACACCTCTGGGAACTCCTTCAAGACTGTTGGAAAACCATTTCAGGTGACTACCTCTTGAAGCTCATGGAGAGAATGCCAAGAGTGTGCAAAGCAGTAATAAGAGCAAAGGGTGGCTATTTTGAAGAAACTAGAATATAAAACATGTTTTCAGTTATTTCACCTTTTTTTGTTAAGTACATAACTCCACATGTGTTCAGTCATAGTTTTGATGCCTTCAGTGAGAATCTACAATGTAAATAGTCATGAAAATAAAGAAAACGCATTGAATGAGAAGGTGTGTCCAAACTTTTGGCCTGTACTGTACATGTACTTTTCCCCTTGCATACACATATAAAACCAAACTCATTGACAGACTATACTGAGAACCTTCCACACACATCCCAGTGAAATGCTTGGGTTATCTAGACACGACCCAAATGGAGCCCTCCACAACCACAGCAGCACCAGTGTTGCCAGATTTATAACAATTATTGTATTTGTCCAATAATTTTGCTCTCTGTACAATATCCAATCAATAATGAAAAAAAGTCATAATGTACGATAATTACACACATTCTTATCCCAACCTCATTATATATCGCCGCTTGGTCATGGACCTTTCATGTTGACATACGATGTGCAAGGTAGCCTGGGTGCAGCTGTTGTTAACATTGGGGGACACCTGTCAGATTCAGGCTGTTACATGCATTGTGTCTTTTCAAAACACACTTACAGTTTAACAGGAAACGTGCAGTTTGCATTCAAAATAAACGTACTATGTTGGTACAACACCACAAATTGATGTTTTTTTTTCCTTCAACAGCAAACGCATATGGTTGGTTTTAGGCAACAAAAGCGCATGGTTAGGTTTAAAAAAAAAAATTAGAGTTTGGCTTTACAAACATATAGGAAGCAAGTACAGGCCTCTTGAGTGAAAGTCGGTAATTGTTGGACCCATCCACCACCCCTTACAACCACCCTACTCGGATTTTTCACCCACTTAACTTGCGTTCATGTCTGGCCGCATTTCGCCTGACGCCGTCAGGTGCCATTACACACTAATGGAGCCTAGCTGTGTATCATGCCAATGTGAAAGGATGGCTTTTTTCGTTGGTGTTTGACATGGAAGTCACTGCCCAAGCGCCGGTATTCAATGACCGGGTTGCAATTAGTACTTGGTTTAAGTCTGTGCTGTCTCATTTTAATTTATTGCCTAACATGATGAGGACAGTCAAATTTAGATTCTACGTCTGTGTTTACGCTTCTCTTCTAACATGACCTCCTTCCAGCCAGTCATGCTTGGTGTAGGCAATGATGAACGTGGCTCAAAAACTTTCTCACCAAGGTATGCTGCATTCAAGTCAAGTTGTTTTGAATGCACAAGCAAACCCAGTTATTCATTTATTTATTTATTTAATTAGCTTAGTTCATGACCTTAGCAGTTCTCATGCAGATAGGCAGCCAGTTGTGCTGTTATAATCTAATTTTGCAATGTTAGGCTATTACAAAAATCAAAGATCAACACTGGGCAGCACACCCTGTAAAGCTAATGTTGACATTAGCTAAAACTGCTACAGCAGTCAATAGTCAAATTTGTGAGTTTATTCTTGTCAGACATGACTTATAGTTGGTCAGTGTTGTCAAAAGAAAGGTTACAGAGAATACAGTGCCACCTTTGATTAATTTTAATTGTTTGAATGAATAAAAACGTCATGGTATACTTTAGCTGATAAATATCTGTTTTGAGAAAGGTTAGATGAGCAGTTTGCCCTTTATACGGGCTAGTTTTTTGTACATAAATAATATATTATGATGGTAAAAGAAAGCATAGATAATAGTATTTTTTGTCTTATTTCACTTAACGTTTAACAGAATATGAACCTGGATAACATTATCAGAAACTGTATTATCATGGAGGTCCTTATTAATAAACCAGGCTACATAGTTTGAAAACTTATATAGATGATGTCAGATACCTCTTGACTTGTGTCAGTCATTTACCTGATTAAGGATGTTTTTGTTTTTGCCTGTGTAAAAGCCTCGTGGTATGGGACCAGTGAATCATTCAGTATATGGCTTCACCTGTAACAGCCCAAGTGACTGCGTACATATCAAAGCACTCCATACTTCATACCACTTGTGTGAGAGCTTTTTGTTCTAAAACTTTATGATAATAGAGTTCCACACTGCTTATAGAGGGTCAGGGGTCAAGACAACAGACAAGTTAAGCCTTTTGCCTTTTGCTACAATCAGCTTTTGTAAGGACAAAGCTGCACAGAGTATCCTTACATTAAGATATGTCTTTCAAACTGCTTCTCAATCTGGTTTCTTTTGCCCCTGGTTGTCATGCAATGGTCTCACTTTATTAGGTTTGGTATTTATCACACTAGATCACACTGTTGTCAGCTCATCTTTAGAACCCAAGGCCTACTAGTGATTTGTAGATCACTGAAGAGCATTTAATAAGAACAGGCACATGACATTGTGTGGATTGAGCCGGGAAGTCCCTCAGCGGGCACCGAGCCCAGTATTTCTGCACACTGGTCTGTTATCAGTGTTAGCTTGTGGTATTCTGTGGCCACTTTGTATCCATGACACAAGGGAGTTCAAAGACTGAACAAAGGGAACAGAGAAGTAGGATGACTTCTCTGTCTTTGTTTGCAGAGAGATGAATATTCATCTTAACAGACTATGTCACCGATAGTTTATGACACATCACGATGTGGGCACAGTTAATCTCAAACAAAAACATACTGCATGTTGGATGATGACAGTGTGTCAGGAGCATGGCAGTATGTGAACATCTGCATATTCCTCCAAAGATGTCACACTGAGAGACATCAGAAAGCATTTGTTTTCCTCTTCCAGGAGGACAGGGACATTTTTATATAACTGTACACTGAAAAACATATTGGAGATACTAAAGAAACAAACAAGAAAGAAGCTGTAATTAACTGTCACATTGGTTAGCGAATACCTACGGATTATCTTTGAATATTCCCCTCAGTGAAACCCCCAGGATGTAAGATGTAGTGTGAAAAGAACTATAACATAGTAACTGCAGGCATAAGCTAAC